TATGTGTTTTCGTTGTCAATGATTAAAAAGATTTTAAACAGATATTATTTTATAATCCATCACAAATTATTAAAAATAATAGGGTAAACTATATCACATACCACTAAACTTTAAGTGTTATATCGTTTATATCACTGAACTTTTAATTTTGCCAATTATACCATTAAATTTTGATTTTCGTTTCAATTATATAACTGAAACATTAAATCATTAACGGTACGATGACGTAACTGATCGCTAATAACACGACTAACAACTGTTGACATAGACACCTCACCAAAAAATGTCATTTTGATCCGACTGTTAATGATTTAACGATTCAGTGATATAATTAAAAAAAATTAAAATTTAATACTATAATTGATAAAATTAAAAATTTAGTTTTATATATAATACAACGCTTAAAATTCGGTAGTATATAATATAATTTACGCAAAATAATAAAACAGCGGCATGTGTCTTTGTTTGGGAGAGGGCATTTCAAATTTCAATGAGAGTTTTGTGAGCTGGATATTGAAGGAGACAGTGAGTTGCATGTTGGTTGCTTTGGCTCTATTCAATAAATAAAATATCTGACTAACCAACCCATCCTCCAACTCCAATTTGATTCCTTATCTTCCATTACCATTTCTATAAAATAAAAAAGATTTCCCCGTCATAATCTCAATTATTATTTCGTTTGTTTTTAAATACGTCATTAATGATTCTAAATGAATGTATGCAGTTGATATCGACAGAATAGGCAATCAACTCTTTCTTCAGATATTTGAATTAAATTTTAGTTTTTAAAATAATATATAATAATTATAAGATAATATCTGATTAAAATTTTTTTTAATCATTGATGATACATATACATTTTATACACAGTTACTTGAACTTTTTAATAATAATACTTTGTTATCACTCTCAAACCGTAAACTGCACATTTTTAATGTTAGAAAAGGATGCTAATCATCAATACAATTGTAGACTTATATTAAATGCATGAAAAAAATATTAAAATAACATTTGGAAAGATTGGTTGTGCGATCAAGTATCAAATTAGGTGTGTTGAGAATAAAGATGAAAGTTAGGGATGAGATGAAATGCGGTGGCAGGTGAGAAGGCTTCAATTATTGGAAGGATAGATGAAAGATGCTCAATCTTTTCTCAAGCGAAAAACTATTTCATCTAAACCATTAGCTGTATATATAGTTAAAAAAGAGTGTTATTTTTTAAAGGAATGTTATTATACTTAATGATTTTAAATTCTAACAATTATATCTATAGTGTGTGTGCTCATTGTTAACGACTAAGAAAAATTATAAACAAACACTATCCTATAATCACTACAGACTATTAAAAATTAAAAAAATATATTTGAGGTCAGTTTACTTTTAAAAAATGATCAATGTGATTCTCGAATTATTTTGCACCTAATATGACCTCCAACTCAAAAAATAAACTCAATATGTACCTTTCACTAATTGTCTTCATCATTGATCATTACTGATGTAAGGCGATTCTACACGCTTTGACGGAAAGTAAGTAGATAGCCTTATTGTGTCCCGATCTAGGATTGACAAGTACTGATGTCCTTGAATTATAAGCTTGGATTGCAACAAAGATAAGAAAGAAATAAGATCAATGATGGAATAATAAATGGAATAATAAGATAAGTAATGAAATGAAATAAAAGGAATAGAGGTGGTTGTGGAATTGATGGTCTTGATGGATGATGTTGATGGTGTTGATGATGAAATGGAGATGGTGGTGATGTTGTATCTCAAGCACGCCAAAGAGGAAACAATGCTAGGAAGCACAATCCCGATCTTCAAAAACTTGCTTGAGGGGTGGTGATAGTGTCTTCAACCCGCTAGATATAAATATAGGAATTTAGGAATCAGGATGGAAGGTATGACGCCACAAGTATATGAATTATACTTGCTTAATCGATAAAGTTCACAAAGAACTTTGAAGAGAAATTAATTCACAAGAGTTTGTTTAATATTTGAGATGAGATGATTACAAATGAAGGCAAGCCTCTCAATTTATAGGAAATGAGAGAGAGCTTGGCCGAATGGTTACATAGGGATTCGACTGGTACATGTCTCTTAATGAAAGTACATAATTAATGGAATAAAGAGATATGATCCTTTAAGCTTGGTGTTGGTTCGGCTATCCCTTCATGAAGGGCCTTGATGTTTCGGTCAAAGGGTGGGGAGACATCTCCCTTGGCCGAATGGTACATGCTTGTTCATCTTGGCGCCAATTTCGTCTCCTTGACCGAATGGTGACGTGCCTCTTCATGTTTGGCGCCAAAGGCTCTCATGTGCAAGGCATGTGTTGTGGTCGAATAGTCATGAAGCTTTGTATCATGTCCTTTGATGGGTTAGGCCTCCAATGGTTGTTATCTCTTCACCAACGTGCTCCTTGGTGAAAGGGTATCTTCATGGGCATCATCATTCATGAAAGGTCACAATGTTTGGAAAGGTAACCTTTCATGTTTGAGCTAGTTCTGGTGTGAATGAGCTGGAGGTGAGCTGGCCATAGGTTAGTTGTAGTATGGTGAACATTATGGCAGCTCCTTGTGAAAAGGTACCTCTTGAGGTGGTAACTATTTATGAAAAGGTACGATTTCACAAATTTTGAATTAGGACATATTTGAAGTGTCCTGAGTGGTGATGATGTTGGTGCAGCTCCCCAGCTGAATTGAAGTCATCTTGCAGCTCAAATCTTCAACTCAATCCAACTATGAGCTCACGGCTCTCTGGACAACTTCTCACCAATGGTTCCTTATGCTCTCCTAAACGTTCCTATGTAAGTTTCCTTGCTGTTACATGCTCCATTTAGCTCCAATATAGCTCCCAAGTGTTGGCTGAATATGCCTACATACATAACATAAGGAAATAAATTAAGTATATAAACTTATATAATGTGTATAATATAAGAATGTGAACTATAGTATATGACAATAACTTATATCTCACATATTAATGAATAAGTTATTATCGTAATAACTATAGACAATATATATATATATATATATGAAAATAACTATATTATAACATATGAAATAAGCATCTTTATGTATAAAGTTAGAAAGTTTCTTACCTTGAAAGTTGAATAACCATTGTAAACATGATGCTGAATTGGATCACATCAATTACGGTGTTGATGTGACAATTCACAATGCTAATGTGTTACTCCACGGTGGTTAATGATGTGGTGGATGAGCTATTATTTTTTTTATCTTGTTCGACGACCAAATTGATTGTTTTAAAGTTCATGGGCTTATTTAATATTTAGAAAAAAATTAAATTATTTTAAATTTTAAATATATAAATATTCAAAAATTTAATGGAAAAATGCTAAAAATAAAAATAACTAAATATTAAATAAAATATTAAAAATATTATTAAAAATCAATAAAATTATATATATATATATATAGTTATAATAATGATAAATTATAAATTATTAAAAATTTAAAAATATTTTTAAAAAAGATGCATTATACATAATATATACATGCAACATATAATCATAACGTCAATACTTATATAAAATATTTTATTAGATTAGTCGAGACTTACGAATTTTGTATCTAAATATAATTAGAAAATATAGTAAGTTTTTTCTTTGGGTGTAAATACACACATCTAATCATACTTAGAACAATTTTAAGGACTATTAATAAACCCTTGCACATTGTATAATAAGTTAGTATATAAAGTGACACTTAAAAATTATTTGACATATGATTAGATTATGCATGTAAAAAACTGACCCAACCTTCAAAATTGATTGAAATCGACTTGAACCAGAATTTTTTGTGGCCTGAGATGGTGATGACCCAAAATCGATTAGAGTCTGAAATGATGTTGACTTGAACCCGAGTTGAATCTGGTTATTTTGGATTCGAATTCGACCTACACATGACTTGGGAATGAATTAAACTCGAATTGAAATTGATAATGTGATAACCAAACCCGACCTATATCTGACCTTATATGAACTCAAACTCGAGATTAACCTGATAAATAACTGATATTACTCGACCTATTATCAATTTGACATGTTATGAACATGACCTATAATTGACTCAACTTGTAAATGACCCAAATTTGATGTGAGTGTGCTAGCACCAGATCCAGAGACTATGCCACAAGGACCAATCACAAGATCTAAGGCTAAATAATTCAGGGAAGACCTTTCACTTAAGTGCATTCAAGCTTTCAATTCCTTTAAAGAGTCTTTAGCCAGATAGATGACAATATTTATTTTATTATGCTTATGTTATGTTATTCAATCATACTTAGCTCATTTACATGCATATCGTAGGTGACAACATTAATTCATTTCATCCCTAGCTTAACAATGACTTATTTTATTGTTTTCATGTCTTACATAGGTGTATTGGATACTAAGGAAGGCTTTGACAACTCATGGACAAAGGATTCATGCTATGACAGATCGTTATAGCTCAAAGGCAACAAAAGACAACTCATCTTAGCTAAAGGAAGCTCAAAGTATAAGCACACTAGCCTAAAGGTAGCTGAAAGAGCTAAACGAGAGATAAAACTAGCTGGAGAGTAGTTGACAACTATGTAGTTGAGCTGAGGACCAAAGGCAGTTGGAGGGTAACTGAGGTAGTAGCTGAGTAGTTTGAGTGTCACTAGCTTGCTAGCTAGCTTGAGTCTACCTAGCTTCAACTCACCTAGCTAGCTACCTAAGCTCCTAGCACACATCAAGCATGCGTCATGGTCGAACCTATACTCATATTACTAAGCCATGGAGATCATGTGACACCAAGGAGAAATCATGTGCCTTATCACTATATGTGAAGTCTATGTGACTTCATTTAGGCATATAAGAAACCAAATGACATCATCATTCGACCAAGGCTTGCAACCAGTCATCTAGGCGCCAACTTGAAGCAACACTTAGGTAAAGGGAATGTACATTCATTGAACAATTATGTTTACCAACACTACTCAACCAAGTCTCATTTATCTTCATTCAAACCGAAAAATTATCACCTTTTGAAGAGATAGCTGAACCATCACTTAGGTAAAGGGAATGTACATTCATTGAACAATTATGTGTCTTCATAAAGACACATACATGGCCAAAGCAACATGTAATAATTCGGCCATGTCCCTCTATTTTCTATATAAGCCAATGCCTTAACTAGTCGTAATACATCTCCAATTGTATCAAATTTATCCTTTGTGAGAATTTTCTCTCTATTTTGTTCTTTAAGAACTATATCGACTTATCAAGTGTATTTGTGCTTGTGGTGTCAACCTCATACTGTTTCAATAGATACTTTTGTTTACTAGTTCAATATAACTAGAGAGACCAAGTCCTTATCTACCATCCTTGAAGAAAGCTTATAAGGTCTGGTGTTAGGCTCTTTAATAGCCTAGTTTATTCCTCATTTTTTTAAAGATATTATCTTTACCATACGTTCACTTTATTTCAACCATAGCCGAGCCATCTTTCTTTATAACCATTTCCTTTATTTCTTTCCATATCATCATGTTCATATATTAATTTCGTAGCCTACAATATTTCTTATCATCTACTACCCTAACCTATTTATTTGAGCCTATCTTATTGCTGTATTACTTACTTCCTTTCTAGATCCACAATAAGTTGATTGTCATCTTCAATATATACAAGGCGTGCATCAACCACCATACATCAAGAGATATTTAGAGTATTGGAGAAAGAATAAAGTACCTTAAGAAAAGGTCGAAGTGAAGTTCCATAAAAGAAAATAAAGAAAAATGCATGGAAAAAGAAAGAAAAACAAGAAGACCCCATCAAAAATTCAAAAGAGTTCAAGAAGAAAAGAAAAACACAGCACTACAAGTCAAAAGGGTGGAAAAAAAAATAACAAAAAAGTCACCATCAAGCATGGAAGCCATCTTGAAGAACATGATTGTGGTGAAGGAAAGGTTATAAGTCCATTGTAGTAAGTAACCCCTTTCATTCTTTTCTTCCTATTTCTAGCCACATTTTTTATTATAATTTTTTCATCACCTAACATTTGTTTTAATTGACGTTACAAAGCATAAAACTCTTTCCTAAGTCTTTTAGAAATTAACAAGAGAGAAAGAAGAGGAAAAATGCAATTGAGTATGCGAGATCAGAAGAGGAAAAGTAAAAATCTTCAAGTCATAAGTGTTAAACACGAGTGAACTGAGTTCCATATATTTTTTTTTGGAGTGACTTTGAGAGTTTTTTTAGAGTAATTGGTAAGGTCCTTTACACATTTCCATTTTCTTTACTATTAACCACGTTTCCAGTTTATGTTCCTTCTACCTCCAACAGAGTCCATGTTGTGAAAAGGGAACTAAACATTCAAGTTTTGGAGGATGAACAAAGATAAAACATCTTCCATACGAGATGTTATGTCAAAGATGAGGTGTGTTTCATGATAATCGGTGGTGGAAGTTGCACCAATGTAGCAAGTACTCTTATGGTGGAGAAGTTAGGCCTAAAAAAAGCATCCAAGCCTATACAAGTTATAATGGTTGAACGACGGAGGTGAATTAATGGTCACAAAACATATCTTTTTCCATTTTTAATAGGCAAGTACAAGGATGAAGTGTTGTGTGACATGTTGCCCATGAATTCAAGTTACATCCTACTCGGGCGTCCATGGCAGTTTGATAAGAATGTCACTCATGATGTATTCGCCGATAGATTTTCTTTCATGTTTGAAGGAAAGAAAGTTAATTTACCCCCTGACCAAATTAAGTCAATGAAAGCCAAATTACTATTAAGAAAAGTGTGGAATCCATGAAGAAATCCAATGAAGTGGTGAAGGAAAAGAGACCAAAAAATTGAACATCTATGCCTGTGGAGGAGAAATTAGAAAACACCTTTATAATCAAAAGGCACTTTTTTACTCATGTACAAACAAAATTTTCTTCCTACTAATACTCTTGAAGGTTTTGAAGATATCTTTCCAGAAGACATCCCAGATGGTTTGCCACCTATTCGTGAGATAGAACAATAGATTGACTTTATTCCCAGATCCACCATTATAAATAGGCCAGCCTACATAAGTAATCCAGAAGAAACCAAATAGTTGCAAAGGCAAGTAAAGGAATTGATAGACAAAGGCTACATTCAAGAAAATTTGAGTCCATGTTTCATTCTAGTCCTTTTGATGCCTAAGAAGGATAGTACTTGGAGAATGTGTTGAGAGCGTCAGCTCACCCCGTGGGATAGCAGAAACAAAAATTCAAAGGTCTCACCAGTGATCCAAGTATGATAAATCGAAAACGAGAGGAAATGATGCGAATACTTACAGCGAGTTCTTTGAAAAATAGAAAGGACACCAACGACTAATAGTGTTGACGACCAGTTTAAATAATAAGCCTCTACGAAACCACGTCTTAACCTCTACTCAGTTCACCCGGTTGAGAGCAATATTTGTTTTTCCCAAAACTGTTTTGAGAAAAAACAGCAGAAGATGATGTAAAAAAAAGGCTGCTAGACCTTACACCTCTTTTTATATCCAAGTTACCCTAACATATTAGGGATTTTATTATTTTGAATTAATTAAACCTTTATTTAATTAATTCAAATTAAATATTCGGAATAATTAAAACATATGTATATCAAATATACATATATTAACTCTAGATATATTTAGTAATGTACAAAAAATTATAAATCTTTGCTAATTTCAATCCTAGGGTGTGACCCTGTAGGTTCTTGTAACGTTAGCAGTAATTATTAGAACAATTCTAATATTACATACAATGAGTGACATCTAACTATATATCATTGTCACCTATGTTATAAGAAAATATGATTCGACATATCAACTTTGTGATTAACTCTTTTATGTATTACATCATTTTTTCCTTTATATCTAGAATAGGCACAAGTCTTGGAATAGTCACACTTGTATAGCCCATCTATTGTTTCTTGATATCTAGAGTAGACTTTAATTAACGAATAATTTGTGATATCTCATATCAACTTATTCGAGCATGACCATGCATTTCTAGTCTCACTCAATCAAGTGGCATGTGATATATTTCCTATTATGTAGGTAGGACAAATCATATCTTAATCATACACACCCACTATATATATAGAGATATATTTAATAACAATCTTTCACCATGAGCAATGTTATGACTGTTACATAATAATCCAAGACATATACTCATAGTGGTCAATCCAATACACTGTTTTCTAACAATATAACCATGTATCAATTCTGACATCTCTATGTCAATGACAACACGTTGTCATCAATCAAGAACATGTTATAAGAGTATTATTATTGTCCATGCCCATAATAATACTTGAATAAGGATCTTTTAATAATAAAAATTATGTTATTATATGGGTTTTACTATCTTCCAGTTTATGTTAAACACATATATATAACTAGAAACAATAGCGGCAATGCCTTTACTCAATAAAATCAGTAAAAAATGTATCATTATAATCATCATATGATTGGTCTTTGGACAAACTGTAACAATCTCCCATAAGCATTAAGACCAATCACTCACATATATAATACCGAGTGACTCAGTGTGACGATCATGCCTCTGCTGTGTAAGAAGCTTTATCAAGAGATCAACAATGTTGTCAACTGTGAGTACTCTGCATATTTCTACATCTCCTCAATCTATAATCTCTCGAATAAGATGAAAGCACCTAAGAATATGTTTGGATTGTTGATGAGATCTGGTTTCATTTGCTTGTGCAATGGCTCCATTATTGTCATAATGAAGTTCTATAACATTTGATATGCTAGGAACAACCCCTAGTTCTTATATGAACTTCTTGATCCAAACAACCTCTTTTGTTGCTTCACTAGCTGCAATGAATTCAACCTCTATTGTAGAATCAACTACTGTGTCTTGCTTCAAACTTTTCTAGCTCACAGTACCTCCATTAAGATAAAACACAAAACCTGATTGCGATCACGAGTCATCCTTTTCAGTTTGGAGTCTGACATCAGTATAACATTTTACACTAACCTATTCCTCACCTCCATAGATAAGAAATATATCCTTAGTTCTTCTTAAGTACTTAAGGATAACTAAGGATATTTTTAACCGCATCCCAGTGATTTTTCACTAGGGTTTACCTGATACTGACTCGTCATGCTTAAAGCATACGGTACATCTGGTCGAGTACATATCATGGCATACATGATAGAACCAATAGCCGAAGCATATGGAATATTATTCATCTATTCTCTTTCTTGTGGAGTTTAAGGACACATTTCCTTCGAAAGAGAAATACCATGTCTCATAGGCAAAAATCCTTTCTTGGATTATTTCATACTGAACATTTTCATCACTTTGTATATATATGTGCTTTGACTCAGACCTAGAAGTCATCTTGATCTATCTATATAGATCTTAACTCTTAAGATATACGATGTCTCACCCAAATATTTCATAGAAAAACAACTACCTAACCAAGTCTTAATAGACTGTAAAGTAGGTATATCATTTCCTATGATAAGTATGTCATCTATATACAAGATTAGGAAATAAACAATGCTCCCACTAGCCTTCTTATAAACACAAAGCTCATCTTCATTTATGATAAAACCAAATTCTTTGATTGCATCATTGAAACGAAGATTCCATCTTCGAGAAGCTTGATTTAGTCCATAAATAGACCTCTATAGCTTACAAACCTTTCTAGCATTTCTTGGAACTAAAAAACCTTCTGGTTATGTCATATACACATCATCTTTGAGTTTTCCATTAAGGAAATGGATTTTGACGTCCATTTGTCAGATTTCATAATTATGGAATGCAACTATTGCGAGCAAGATCCGGATGGACTTAAATATAGCTACAGGGGAGAATCTTTCGTCATAGTCTACACCATGAACTTGTCGAAAAACATTAACAACTAATCGCCCCTTGTATGTTTATACATTACCATCCTGTCGATTTTTTTCTTGAAAACTTATTTATACCCTATAGGTTTGACCCCTTGAGGTGGTTCAACCAAAGTCCACACTTGGTTTACTGACATGGAATCCATCTCAGATCTCATGGCTTCAAGCCATTTCTTAGAGCCAGGGCTAGACACTACCTCTTGATAAGTTTAGGCTCATCTTGATCCATAAGAAGAACATCTCCATGTGTGGTAACGAGAAATCCAAATCTCTCAGGTCATGGCGTTCTCTTGTGGATATGCATAGTGGTTGTGTTTCTAAATCTCTTGATTGTTCCTCAACAACTTGTGAAACATGTTTAACTTTAGGTTCATTGATATTGTGTTCTTGAACTTCTCCAAGTTCAATATTTATACCCTTCTATTTCTTTGAGAGAAATTCTCTTTTGAAAAAAACTCTCATTCGAGAAATAAACACTTTGTTCTCGTTAGGGTTGAAGAAATAATATCTCTTAGTTTCTTTAGGACATCTAACAAATATACACTTATGAGATTTAGGTTTGATATTTGTAGACATATGATGTTTTACATAAGCTTCACAACCCCAAATCTTTATAAAAGACATACTAAGACGCTTCCCAATGCATATCTCGTATGGTGTCTTTTGAAACGATTTAGATGTAACACGATTTAGTGTGAAAGTGGTTGTTTCAAGTGCATGTCCCAAAAAAGAAGTCAAAAGATCACTATGACTCATCATCTATCGAACCATGTCTAACAGTGTTCGATTCATTCTTTCAAAAACTTCATTCCACTGTGGTGTACCAAGTGGTGTAAGTTGTGAAACAATCCCACATTCTTTCAGGAGTTCATCAAACTCTATGCTTAAGTATTCTCTACCTCGATCTGATCGAAGTGCGTTAATACTCTTGCCTAGTTGATTATGTAATTCATTTTTAAATTCCTTAAACTTTTCAAGGGCTTCATATTTATGGCGCATAAGATAAATATACCCATACCAACGGAAGTCATCGGTGAAAGTAATGAAGTAATATAATCCACCTCTAGCTTGTGTATTCATCGGTCCACATACATCACTATGTATTAACCCTAATAAATCACTTGCTCGATCTCTTTTAATATTAAAAGAAGATTTAGTCATTTTCCCAACAAGAAAGATTCACATACATCATATTGTTCGAAAACAAATGAATTTAAGAATCCATATTTATTGAGTTTTGATATGCGTTTCTCACTTTTATGGCCTAAACGACAATGCCAAAGATAAGTTTGATTCGAGCCACTTGTTTTAGATCTTTTAATATTTATGTTATAAATGGTGTTTACTTAATCCAAAATATAGAGACCATTAACCAATTGTGCCGAACCATAAAAACATTATCGAGATAAAAAGAACAACAATTATTATTAATAATAATCTCGAAACCAATCTTGTCCAAACAAGAAATAGAAATAATGTTCTTAGTCAAACTAGGCAAAAAATAACAATCCTCTAAATTTAAATCAAGTCCACTAGGCAAAGATAAAACATATGTCCCTATAGCTAATGCAACAACTCTTGCTCCATTTCCTACTCGTAGGTCTACGTCTCCTTTAGCCATATTCCTTCTCTTTTTGCAGTCCTTGTACAAAAGTACAAATATGAGAACCGCAACCGATATCTAATACCCAAGAAGTAGATGTTGACAAATTAATATCAATAACATAAATACATGAAACAAACGTTCCGTTTTCTTTTGCCTTCTTGACCACTTTAAGGTAAACAGGGAAGTTTTTCTTCCAATGTCCGGTCTTATCGCAATGGAAATATTTTCCTTCCTTGCTAACTCCCCCTTTGGGTTTCGATGCATTTTTTCCTTTCGGTATGGCCTTACTATTGCCCTTAGACTTTGTCGCAACCTTTTTATTTCCCTTTCATTTGTCCTTTTGGACCATCAGGATAGACTTATGTCTAACTTTTTTCAAGTTACTTTCACAAGTTTGTAACATGCCAAGTAACTATAGCAAAGTCTTGTTAATTTCATTCATGTTGAAATTAAGGACAAATTGGCTTAAGCTATCTGGCAACGATTTCAGGATAACATCGGTAGCCAATTCATCTTGAGAGGAAATCCCAACTTTTCCAATGTTTGAATGTAACCCATCATCTTGATGACATGAGCTCCTATAGGAGATCCCTATTATATTTTACATTGAAATAGAGCTTTAGAGGTCTCATACCTCTCTTGACGTACTTTCCCTTCATATGTTTCCTTGATATTTTGAATCATCTCAAATGCAACCATTCCCTCATATTGCTTCTGAAGTTCAGGAGTCATGGTGGCAAGCATTAGACATCCAACGTCTAAATATCATCCATATGTTTCTTGAATTTGTCTTTCTCAGCACTTGAAGCATTAGATGTTGGTTCATCAGGAACAAGTTCTTCAATGACATATTCTTTACTTTCCCAATTGAGAACAATTCTCAAATTACGAAACCAGTCAAGGAAGTTTATGCCATTAAGTTTCTCCTTCTCGAGGAGTGATCGCAGTGATAAAGTGTTGTTTGCCATTAAATCTAAAACAATGGAAATATTAAAGTAAGTAAATTTATTGAATTAAAAATATATAAATAGGTCTTCATTTACAAATTACTCCAACTATTTTATTCAAAATTAAAAGCCCTCTCTATTTTAATTTTAGAAAAATTCAAAGAAAATTTTTCTAGTAGGTGAGGATCCATAATCCATCAACTTCCTAGATCAACTTTGGCTTTTCTTTTAGGATAGTGATTATTTAGGTAAGTAACACTTTACTAGTTACATCTCATATCTCCTTTTGGTGAACAACCAATATCTAAATCGGTGAATATCACTTGCTTATTCTTCGTGTTCAACCAAGATAGATTTATGTGTCAATTCTTTAGTAAAGCCCACACAATATCGATCGAAGTCTTAACGAGCGTAAATGTTGGACGATTAAGTTAACTTAGATTATAAAGAGGGATTTGCATAATTATCTCATCGTTGTTCATTTTAATATTAAGCCCTTATTGATCTCATCAATATTCATTCTTATTTTATCATTTGATGCATTGCATACATAACAAATATAGCAATAAATAATATGCAATGGTTGTAGCCTGAAAATAATAACTAAGGTGGCCCATCCCAAGCCAATGGGAGAACCAAAAACCCTAAAACCTAAGATTGCTCTATAGGTATCTTCTCGCCTTCAGTTCAGTCAGTTCTTCTGCTCCATATGAATCTTCATAAGATTACAATTTTAGAAGAAGCTCGTTTTACATATGAGGGAGTAAGATGATAAGACAAATACAACTGAGATATAGAAAGGCATGGCTCGTAGGCCGTATTTCAAATTCAACCATTATAAATTGAACAAGGTATATAACCATGCATGTCAATCACAATATAAAACAAACATATCATATATATACACATTGTTACGCCTTTGTTAAAAATATTAATATAGGCCTACAATCTATAATACTCATGAAGGGTCAAGGGGTAAAGGCCCTTGCGGGTAGGGCTATAAATGAGACGAGACAGATCGTAAGCTACTCGAGATCGGCTAGATCAAGGCTCGATAAATACTCGGAACGATCCAAAACGAGCTACTCATTACTCGACTCAAAAAGCTCGTGAGAAGCTCGAAAAAAATGTTATATTATAATTTTAGATTTTTTAAAATTATATTATTAAAAATATATTAAAAATACACTATTGATAATTATAAAATTTTAAAAATATATTAAAAATTCTATAATACAACTACCTCAAATTTTTAATAACTAATTTTTTAAATTATTGTTATATTTTGAGGTTTCGAGTTCAAATATCGTAAATATCAAGGGTTTAAGCATTTAATATCAAGATACTATATTGTACTTACCTCATAAATTGTTTAATTAATGTTTTTACAATGAACTCTAAACCCTAAACCCTTAACCTGATTATGTGATAGGAGTTAAGTTATGCACATAAAGGTAACATACAAATTATGCAAAATGATGTTATGTGACTCCTAAATAAATCATTTGCATACTTATACATAAACATATCAACATGCAAAATAGATATACACAACTTGGTGATTGAGAATGACTCACAAAATATTTCAAGAACTGACTCGACGACATAATGTAAACGGAGATTTGATGTACAAATACAACTAAAACGATGGGATCATATTTTATCATACCCTAGTCAATAGGTTAACATCAATATCATACAATCACCATTTTTTTTAAAGGAAAATGACGAGTTTGAATCATATGAATAGTCGAGGTAAATACATGATAGGATTATGATATATATAATTATAAAAAATTAAAGTGTTTTAGAATGGAAGTAGAATTTGGGATAGTTATAAAGTAATATATGTTTAAAATTTTCTTAATCAATTAACAATGCTCACACATCCTATAGATGCATTTTTTTAAACTCAAAACCTTTATGGAGAACAACATTTCCTTTTGTTACAAAATTATTGATATTTTAAAAAATATACTTGAAATGTGTTATTTATTTTTTACCATTTAGTATCCAATGAACTTACCATGACTAGCTGAAAAAACATTTCCCAGATGCTTTTACATACAAATGCAAGAAAATTTCCTAAATATCTTCTTTGGCAGTGGTTGCTACTTCCAGGTTGGGAACTCAGTAAAGCTTGGAATGTTAATTCCTGCTACCTATAAAACAACATTAAGTACTTGGGCATCATGGGTTGAGAACAGGATGAGACCCGATTGCCATTGTAACAGACAAAACTGTGGGCATGGCAATAGGAATTCCTCCAATGAGTAGTACCAGTAAATTGTCGATTCCGGGACGATATTTACGATGTTGAATTGGGTACATGACAATGATTTCAGTTATCATTCTGACCGCAATGGAACATATATAGAAATTACCAATGGCAGTCAACACCTGTTTAACAAAATCGGGAACCAAAGTATTTCATGAATGAAACAAATGAAGAACATGGAAAATAATCGAAAATAAGCTGATCTTAGGACCTTTTGAAAATGTCCTTGTTGATTTATAGAATCAACAAGGTGAGCAGCTTTGCCAAAGAACATATGAAAACCGGTGGCGATCACGACAGCTTCAATCTCTCCTTGTTTGCATGTAGAACCCGAGTAAATAATGTTACCGGGGCCTTTTGTTACTGGAAGAGAATCACCAGTTAACGCTGACTGGAACATGGAAAAAGAGAATTAACATCAAGAAAACAAAGTTCAACATGAAAAAGAAAACGAATCAGTTCAGGTTTCAGAAGAACCTGATCAATTTTCAGCGGATCACCGTCGAGGAGTCTAGCATCAGCCGAAATAATGTCACTGAGTTTAATACTGATGATATCACCGGGAAAAAGAACAGATGCATCTTCTTCAATCCACTTCCCATCTCGAAACACCTGAAACTTTTCATTTATTAGTCAATTTTCAGATACTAGAACAACAAAGACTAGGTTTGCTTGTGTTCATCTTCGATTCTCGACACTGTTTTTTTCAACAAAGATTGTGTTGATTCATGGAGTTCCATGCAATCTTGCAATTCGCCTCTTTGTTTCTCGACGATCACGTTTCCATTTCCGCCGTTGGAGAATAAACTTGTTAGCTTCGCAGGCTCAGATAATGCAGTGTTGAGGGTTTGAAGGAGGTAGAAAAGCATGTTGGGACTGATGTTTACTGAAATGGAAAGCTTCAGTGAATCGAAACAAGAACCTGGGTATAGAGTTGATTTGCAGAAGCTTTGTATGAAATTGAGATTTGGGTTCAGAGAATTTGTTGAAGAAACGTTGAGAGAGAAAGTTGAAGAGAAGAAAAAGAAGATGAATATTGGTATAATGATGGAAGCCATTGAAGTCTATTGTATAAGGTAAATTGTTGAGATTTTCAAACTTAACATTGAACTTGAGTTGGTTTGATATCCCACATCGTTGGTTGTTGGGGAATAAGAGGTAAAGTGAGTGTATAAAAGTGGATGGGTTTCAATAAAGGAAAATAAAACCTGTCGAGCTCAGAACCGAGCTTGAATCAAACTTAAAATCGAGCTCAAAATCGAGCTTCAATCGAGTTCGAGTTTCGAGCTTTAGTCGAGCTCTTGAATTTTTTTTGAGTTCGAGCCTTTTCAAGTTCGAGTCGAGTTTCAATATTATCTTTCGAGTTCGAGTCGAGTTTGAAAATTTTAGACTCGTGAGTATTCGAGTCGAGCTTAGATTTATAGTTTTCGAGTTCGAGTCAAGCTTAGTAATACTCGAGCTCGACTCGGCTTGTTTACACCCCTACTTGTGGACATCAACCGTCGCGGTACACCCGGTGAGATTTTTTTTGAAAAACAACAATTCTATTTCTATGGAAAAACCTCATGATTTGATGAAACTTATCAACATAATCATGTTTTTTTGGATTTTCAATCCCGAAGGTTTTTCTACATCGGAACAACAATTGTTCCATTGCCAAATATGATTTGTTATCGCACACCCACCGATCATCATGTCAACAATTGACATATGGATTTCATAAAATCCTTACAGCAACACACAAATTGTAAAAAATATATTAACATATTAATCGTTGCGGTTATCAAATCAAACAATAATATCATACTTATTCACCGAAAATGATAAAACTAGAACATGCATCTCATACATATCGTATCAACCAAGAATTTAACCCTAATTTGAATCATACAAGTGGCTCTGATGCCACTATTGGGATCGTCGGCTAACCACATAACTAGCGGAAATAAAAATTCGATAGTCTCACCAACAATCCAAGTACGATAAACCAAAAACGGGAGGAAAGGATACGAATACTTATAGTGGGTTTCTTGAAAAACAACAAGGACAACAACGACTAATGGTAGTGATGATCGGTTTGAATCATAAGCCTCCACGAAACCAAGTATTGGCCTTTATTCAGTTCACCTGATTGAAAGCTATATTTACTTTTCCCAAAAATATTTTGAGAAAAACGGCTGAAGATGATGTAAAAAATGACTGCTAGACCTTACACATTTTTTTATATCCAAGTTACCCTAACATATTACAGATTTTATTATTTCAAATTAATTAAATCTTTATTTAATTAATTAAAATTAAATATTCATGATAATTAAAACATATGTACATCAAATATACATATATTAACTCTAGATATATTTTAGTAATGTACAACAAATTATTCATCTTTGCTAATTTTAATCCTAGGGCGTGACTCTGTAGGCACTTCTAACGTTAGCAGTAATTATTAGAACAATTCTAATATTACATACAATGAGTGACATCTAGCAATATATCATAGTCACCTAAGTTCCAAGAAAATATGATTCGACATATAATCTTCGTGATTATATTTTTCTGTATTATATCTTTTTGTCCTTTATATCTAGAATAGACACAAGTCTTGTAATAGTCACACTTGTATAGCCCATCTATTGTTTCTTCATATCTACAATAGACTTTAATTAATGAATAATTTGTGATATCTCATATGAACTTATTTGAGCATGGCCATGCATTTCTAGTCTCACTCAATTAAGTGGACTGTGATATATTTCCTATTATGTAGGAAGGAAAAATCCTATCTTAATCATACACACCCACTACATATATCGAGATATATTAAATAATAGTCTTTATAGAGCAACTAGTTATGGAGCATGTTAAACTGCATCAAAACATACAATAATATATGTTGGGATAACATTGATATCAAGTATGAGGTTCATACATATAGTTATCACCATGGGCAATATTATGACTATCACATAATAATCAAAGACATATGCTCATGGTGGGTCAATCCAATACATTGTTCTCTAACAAAATAACCATGTATCAATTCTGACATCTCTATGTCAATGACAACTCAGTATGACGATCATGCCTCGGCTGTGTAAGAGGCTTCATCAAGGGATTAACAATGTTTTCATCCATGTGTACTTTACATATTTCCACATCTCATTGATCTATAATCTCTCGAATGAGATGAAAGAACCTAAGAATATGTTTGGACCGTTGATGAAATCTGGGTTCCTTTTCTTATGCAATGGCTCCATTATTGTCACAACAGACTTCTATAGCATCTGATATGATAGGAACAACCCCTTAATCGGGATCATAAAGAAGGATTCAAACTTAATATGGGGCAAGGAACAAGAAGATTCTCTTTTAGAAGTCAAGGAATGGTTGACAAAGGCGCCTCTACTTGCACTACCCAACTTTGATAAAACCTTTGAAGTGGAGTGTGATGCTTCCAGAGTTGGCATAGGTGCTGTTTTGACTCAAGAAAGATGTACCATTTCCTACTTCAATGAGAAGTTAAATGGTACAACATTTAATTATCTTACTTATGATAGGGAGATGTATGCACTTATCTAAGAATTTGAGACATGAAAACACTATCTATGGCCTAAGGAATTTGTCATTCAAACTTACCATGAGGCATTAGAGTACATCAAAGGGAAACACAAATTGACTAAGATACATGCCAAATGGGTCGAGTTTTGGAGCTCTTTCCTTATGTCCTATATTACAAGAAATGTAAAGATAACATCGTTGATGATGCCTTGTCAAGGAGGTACCTTCTTCTGTCTATTTTAGATTCCAAAATTTTAGGTTTTTCATTTATAAAAAAACTATATGCTATTCACCTTGATTTTGTAGAAAGATATAATTTAAGTGATGCAGGTTCTAATGGCAAGTACTATAAGCATGATGGATTTCTTTTCAATGAAGGAAGATTGTGCATCCCTAAGGATCATCACATGAGGTTTTAACAAAGGAAGCACATGAAGGAGGACTGATGGGACACTTTGACTTTGAGAAGACACTTAGCACATTAAAGGAACACGACTTTTGGCCAAAGATGAAGAGGAACATTGAAAGGGTGTGTGAAAGGTGCCTTGTTTGTAAAAAACTAAATCAAGAGTCATGCCTCATGGAATGTACATGTATCTTCCCGTTCCAAGCATGTCGTGAGTTAACATATAAATGAATTTCATTATATACTTACCAATAACCAAGAATAAATGAGACACTGTCTTTATATGGTTGATCGTTTCTCCAAAATGGCTCATTTCATTCCATACCTTAAGACAAATGATACCATTCACATTACCAACCTCTTTTTCAAGGAAATGGTAATTGGGAGAAAATTATGTTTCTCAACTATATGTCATTGTCATACCGATGACCAAACTAAAATGGTGTATCAAGTTTTATCTACCTTGTTGAGGTCTATCATTTAGAAGAATATCAAGGCTTTGGAAGAATGTCTACCGCATGTAGAGTTTGCCAATAATGGAGCATCTAATTCTGTAACAAAGTACTCTCCCTTCATGATTATGCATGGTTTCAATCCTTTAACTCCTTTAGACTTATTACCTTTTCCTTATTAACACATGAAAATCAAGGATGGAAAGAATAAGGTTGAGTATGTGAAGAAGCTCCATGAAAAAGTCCAAGATAACATGGAGAGAATGACCCACCAATATAAGCAATAAGCAAATAAAGGACGAATGAAGGTCATATTTGAGTTTAGAGATTAGGTCTAGGTTCATTTCAAGAAGAAGAGATTTACATACAAAAGAAAATCCAAGCTTTTACTAAGAGGATATTTTGCCAGGAGAGTCTGCTGTGAGTGAAACCTTCAATGTTTTAGACATTTCCCTCTATGAAGAAAATGACAATTTGAGGAAAAATCGCCTTGAAGGGGGTGATTTGAGAATACTAACACCAGATCTAAATACTATTCCATAATGACCAATAATAAAATCTAAGGCTAAACAATTCAGGGAAGTTATTTCACTTAAGTGCATTCTAGCTTTCAATTCTTTTAAAGAGTCTTTAGGCATAGGTGAAAAATTATATAATATGTTGCATGATGATATGTAGCATATCATATTATTCAAATCTTTACTTAGTTTATATTATGCTTATGTTAGGTTATTTATTCATATTTAGCTTATTTACATGCATATCATGGGTGACAACATTCACTCATTCTATTTCTACCTTAATCATGACTTATTTTATTGTTTTCAATTATTATATATGTACATTGGATGCTAATGGAGGCTTTGGCAGCTCATGGACAAATGATTCACACTATGACAGCTCATGATAGCTTAAAGGCAATAAAGGATTACTTATGTTAGCTAAAGAAAGCTAAAAGAATAAGAGCACGAGCTCAAACGTAGCTAAAGGAGCTAAAACTAGCTGGAGAGTAACTGAGGACTAAGTAGATGAGCTGAAGACCAAAGGTAGTTGGAGGGTAGTTGAGGTGGTAGTTGAGTATCTAGAGTGTAATTAGCTAGCTAGCTTAAGTCTACCTAGCTTATACTAACCTAGCTAGCTACCTAAGAACTCACCTAAGCACCTAGCTCACATCATGAGCCAAGTATGAACCATGGCTGAACAAATGCTCATCTTACCAAGGCGTGGAGATCTTGCGACACCAAGGAGAACTCATGTGCCTTATCACTACATGTGAAACCCATGTTAATTTATTTAGGTGCCTAAGCAACCAAAGGACATCATTATTTGACAAAGGCTTGCAACCACTCATCTTGGCACCAACTTGAAGCAACACCTACTTTATTCAACCAAGGCTCATTTCTCTTTATTCAAACTGAAACATGATCATTGTTTTAAGAGATACATGTAC